GGTACTAGGTCTTAAACAAAACGAAAGTAGGAAACCCTGGATAACAAATGAGATTGTAGGATTAATAGACGAAAGGCGGAAATACAAAAACAGGACAGACGAAGAAGGGCAAAAAAGATATAAAGCTATAAAGTGGGAAATAATTAGGAAGTGTAGGGCAGCTAAGGAACAGTGGATTGATAGGATGTGTAAAGAAGTAGAAGAAAAGTTTGAAGTAGGTAAAATCGATGAGGCTTATAATATAATTAAAAGGAATTTTAGAGATGTAGCGTACAGTAGTAACAATATCAGAAACGAGGCAGGGGTCATTTTGATAGAAAATGAAGAAAAGTCAGATAGGTGGAAAGAATATTTAGAGAACCTATTCTCAGTCCCTTAGGTAGGAGATATTTTAGAGAAGGAAGATTTTTTTTAACTCCATGTTTATTTGTACAATCTGTCTTTAGGACAATAAGTACAATTTATAGTAATATTTAGATAGCAACGAGAAAGACATAACATTGAATGTTGACCAACGTAAGCATCTAATTTGATTACAAATTATTAAAAATCAAAAGACTTAATTAAGTATATTACATGTAGATAGTTTGCATTTATGGTATTTGAAATATTATGGTCGTTCAATCCAGTAGCACTTGAAGTTGTATTTGCGGAGCCGAGAATCTTCGAATCTGTTGTTGATGAGATTTTTTGCTAACAGATTAGGATGAGTTAAGGGTTTATTGTTGTTTTTAACGGTGTGCTTTTTAATTTCTATGTAATCCGAGGTCCTTGTAGATATTTTCATTGCTAACATACCAGGGAGCATTAAGTAGGCAGCGAAGAGTCTTTGATTGAAACCTTTCAATGATATTGATGTTGGATTTTGAGGCTGTACACCAGTTTTGTATTCCGTACATCCATATAGGTTTAATCACTGAGCGGTAGAGTTGGACTTTGTTATCCAGGGTAAATTCTGATTTCCTGCCCACTAACCAGTACATTTTTCGTATCTCCAGGCCAAGCTGTTCCCTTTTCGTCCATATGTGCTATTTCCAAGTGAGGCAGCGGTCGAGATGCATACCAAAATATTTCACCTGGTTTCTTTGAGGAATTTCAATCTCTCCGTAGAAAACGGGAGGGCATGTATCACGTCGTAGAGTAAAGGTTATGTGTACAGATTTGCCTTCGTTGATCTTTATATTCCAACGATCGTACCAGTTTAAATGCTCTTGTATTATTTTTGAGGCTTCGCTGGGTATTGCGTGTACACCTATTATCGCAGTGTCATCAGCGAATGTAGCAGTGGAAACTCTGAGAGCGGTGAGGATATCTGCAGTATATAGAAGGTACAATGTTGGAGCTAGAACACTGCCTTGCGGAACTCCTGCTTCAATTGGAGTGAGTTCTGAGAAAACATTTCGTACCTTGACTTGGAAATAGCGATTCGTCAGGTAAGACTCCAGCAGCAAGGCTAGTCTCCTTGGTATATGCTTATAAATTTTCTTGATTAATCCCTTGATCCAAACTTTGTCGAAGGTTTTGACAACGTCAAGGAAAACTGCAGGGCAGTACATTTTGCCTTCGAATGCTTTCCGTATAACGGTAGTAATCCTGTTTACCTGTTCTATTGTTGCGTGGTTAGTTGGGACGCCGAATTGATGGTTTGGAAATATTGCTTTATCTGAGATTATTTCCTTTAGTCTTCGTTGTATTGCCGTTTCAGCTATTTTTGAAATTTTTGGAAGTAGACTAATTGGTCTGTATGATGAAGTCAAGTTTGGATTTTGCCTGGTTTGTGAATCAAGATTATATGTGCAATTTTCCAAGTGTTTTGTCGCGGAACTGAATCCAAGGGAAATTATTTTGTTGAAAATAAACAACGAAGATATCAAAACGAGAATTAACTTTTATATTTTAAAATGCGGAAAACAAGACTACTTCAATACATGTTGTGCTTACTACTNTAACGATAACCAACGAGTCGGCACATGTCTTAATATTTCTCTGTGGTTGAAGGAAGTAACGATAACCAACAAGTTGGCACATGGCTTAATATTTCTCTAAACTCAATTACTGTATCTAAGCAACTTATCATCAACTCATTTCTCTTATTAGCAAAAGCTGAAATTTCTCTGTGAACTTTTAAAATAATTGATTCTGTATCAACAGGCAGCTTTCAAAGAATTTTTAACGCAGTTGTGTAAAATATGGCGTTGTCGGCAGAATATGCTGAGATTTGACTTATTTCAACGCCGTTTTTAGATCATATTTGTACTATTTGATCTTTTATAGCTTCGCTGTTTTCTTGACAATCTTCCTAAAAGTCTAACAAACCGGTTTGAATGCCATTTTCGAATGATAAATATTTAATCAATAGTGGATACATTTTAGGATTAATAGAAGAAAGGCGGAAATACAAAAACAGGACATACGAAGAAGGGCAAAAAAGATATAAAGCTATAAAGTGGGAAATAATTAGGAAATGTAGGGCAGCTAAGGAACAGTGGATTGATAGGATGTGTAAAGAAGTAGAAGAAAAGTTTGAAGTA